GTAGAAAAGCGGTATCCGGAATATGCATGGAGCATTCGCACACTTACACGCCGGCTTCACCACTTTGACATAAAATATGTAGACTAAAACATTGAATTGGAAAGCGTTAGAGACGCCGTCAAGATAGAAATGGAAGGTCCGGGGAAGCTGCTGGGGTATAGAGCTCTACACAAGAAAATTCGAGATGTACATGGACTTAGTGTACCGAGAAATCTTGTGTATACTGTCATGCAAGATGTTAACCATCAAGGCCTACAAAACAGAGGAGGTGTAGGAAAGCCTAAAAGGCCAAAAAGAACCAAAGCTTTTGTATCAAACGTAAGTATTTACGCAAAAATGAATTCGTCTGAGAATTATCGACGTTTGGAACTGTCTACTTCGCAATTTCACTATTTATGTTGTATTTTATGTATGTACTTGAGGATATATTTTAACATTCATCTGAGAATTATGTATTTAAATATATTTTATACAGTTTTGATTACATAGATGGTCTTGACACACGTGCTTATATTATACTTTTGTTGAAGCTGGCTCATTTTTCAGATTAAATACAGGTCCTTATTATTGATTTTGCTTTCATTGTTATTTTTTTTTTGTGTGATTATAGGGCTGTTTGCATAATAAGGGTAGGKCATACTGACAGGGTGGTATGGCTCTTTTGTTTCAAATGAGCAGCCCCCATTATTTAGAGCAAGGATCACACAATCTGAAGTTTCAAATCAAATTTATTTTCTGAAATAATTTATACTTACAGTTTAATTTCGCCCATGTACAGGGGCCTAATTTCACAATGTCACTTGATGGCCACGACAAGATGTGCGGGTACCAAAACAGTACATTCCCCTTGTGCATCTATGGAGCTCAAGATGCTTACAGTGCCAGGATACAATTTCTCAGAATCTGGACCACCAACAGTGATCCAAATATTATAGGCTGTTTTTATTTTGATTACCTATATGAGGAAAGAGTTACATGTGCATGTTCATGTGTATGTGATGATTACAACATGAGCAGTCGGGTTGTATGTTACAATGCAAAGTCAAGTGTAGACTGACTGTTAATGTTCTCACCATATTTTATGACTTTTACAGTGTAATTTGTGTTTTCTAGTGTTACCTCAAAAAATCCGTGTGGATAAAGGCACAGAGACAGGAGTTATGGCAACTATGCATTGCTTTTTGAGAGCAAAGCATGGAGATATGGAAGATCCAAGTGATAGTGTTGTTTTTGGTCCCTCCACACAAAACAAAATAGAGAGATGGTGGAGAGAACTTTTGAAGAGGATGGAAAGGATTTTCAAGAAGCAATTGTCTTCATTGATAGAAAATGGTGACTATGACTCTAGTGATGAAATAGACAGGTAAATACATGGTTAAACATCTTGGCTTTTATTGTCCGTACATGACTACTATTGACTTTGGGTTTATGAAAAACTACTCTAGTATTTTTGTAAAGAATATAAATTATGACTTTTATAGGTCTTTGCTTGCCTACATCTACATACCTGTTCTGCAAAAAGAATTAGATATAKTCAGGCAATTTGTGTGGAACAGTCATCRAATTAGGAAACAAAGGAAAAAGGAACTACCTACAGGAGTCCCAGATCATATTTTCAATTGTCCAGAAGACTATGGAGGTAAAGAATGTGGCTTAAAAGTATCAGAAGAAGATCTAAGAGAAGTGGCTGAAGTGTCCAATGTGCTAAATGGAACAGATGATTATCTAAGTGAAGATTTCCGTAAGGAATGTGAAAAACATATCGCAAACACTGGCAATATAAAACCCTCAGAAGCATCTAATGCATACTTGTATATTAAGGCACATTTCAACAAATAGTAGTTGAATTACTATGTGTTTCTATGAATAAAACTAACAAACTTCCAATCAATATATTCTCAATTTATTCTCAATGGTGCTAGATCATTTTATGCAGCTATTAGTAATTTATACATGTAGTTGTTGAAGTCATTCTCATGCATTGGAGTCCCAGTGTAATTGTTACTATAGAAACACATTGCTAATATCGTGTCTTTTGGACCAGTGTTTCTTCAGTATGTTTGTAATGAAATGAAATAAAAATACTTAAATTAAATAAACATAATTTTCTTTCCGTCATGCAATAGTTGGGCGGCCTATGCATAGACTAGTGTTTGAACCCGCGAGTCAAGGAATCATGGTGACGTAATGCCACAGGTAATCCGCATTTTGCTGAAAAATGAGCCAGCTTCAACAAAAGTATAATATAAGCACGTGTGTCAAGACCATCTATGTAATCAAAACTGTATAAAATATATTTAAATAAATAATTCTCAGATGAATGTTAAAATATATCCTCAAGTACATACATAAAATACAACATAAATAGTGAAATTACGAAGTAGACAGTTCCAAACATCGATAATGATCTATCTCAGACGAATTCATTTTTGCGTAAATACTTACGTTTGATACAAAAGCTTTGGTTCTTTTTGGCCTTTTAGGCTTTCCTACACCTCCTCTGTCTTGTAGGCCTTGAGGGTTAACATCTTGCATGACAGTATACACAAGATTTCTCGGTACATTAAGTCCATGTACATCTCGAATTTTCTTGTGTAGAGCTCTATACCCCAGCAGCTTCCCCGGACCTTCCATTTCTATCTTGACGGCGTCTCTAACGCTTTCCAATTCAATGTTATAGTCTACATATTTTATGTCAAAGTG